CCCTTCTGCCCTGGGTTATTCGTTTTGCCAATATGACCAAGTTGCGGAAACAAGGTCAAGTAACTACCATACATCGAAAGGAGACTGCGACCAAAATAGAGGTCACAACATTTTGGTCTTCGTATTTAGATTTTTTCTTTCTTTGAATTTTGGCTAATCCAATACGCAGCATAAATTAAGTAGATTAATGTTGCTATCTAAATGTGTGGCATTAACTTATTTCAAAGGCGTAGCTAAATACATCTTGCCTTGTATCAGCGTAGGACGAATGACCGTTATATAATCACTAGAAAATTTTTGGGCGCAAATCTCTGCTAACTTTTTTATTAGATGATAAGTTTTTCAATTATTTCGATGGCCTTAAATAGGCCCTACCCATTTCGCTCTTAGCTTTCACCTTTAATTTCAGTCTTATTTGTTCTCCCTTCTGTCTTGAATTTGGTGTGATTCAGTCATGATATTTTTACCCTCCTCATAGCAAGAGTCGCTTTGATTAAAAATAGACTATTTATTCCTTGTAAATTCCTCAGGATCATTTATCATACAAAAATTAACTCTGATTTGCTCACATTTTTTACGATCTTTTATTACCGGTTTTTATCTATAAGTTATTATCTTATCTCTATCTATCTTGTGTGGCTAGTGTACCCAATAGTTTTCCTTAATTTTGTGTAATTATCCACTCCGAAAATACTCACCCTCCATATCCAACATTTTGGAAACAAGGATAATTTTATGATCCCTGTCAGCGTAAATAAAACATTATTTTCACCTTGTTTCCATAAAATTGAAATATAAAACTTCTTTATAGCTCCCACTTACTACTCTAGGTCAGCTATTTCCTTATCAATCTTGCTTTCGGGAACCAGTGCGGAATAATATATAAAAAAGCAATGAAGTTCCTCACAACTATCGAATAAATCAGTGATATTTATCCTTCCAATAGTCAGAACATGTCTAAGTACTTGATCACATTGTGCACTTTTATATGAAAGAAATTCTTCACAACAATCTTATCTCAAAAGATTCTTTGAAACCCTACGCTTTCTTTATATATATACTTTGTTGCACATTTAGATTAGATTTTTTCAAATCTCTGCCACTTTTCCTTACCGTCAAGATTAAGATAAAGTTTTGGCTCAGGGGTCAGACCCTTCTTGTCACTGATTACCTTAGTTATTTTTAGCTTGATAGACAAATATTTTTATTGAATGCATGTTACCCACTATGTCCTGTCTCCTTGCATTTTTAGTAGTGGTGCCTCTGATGTAGAATTGGATAAAGACTGCTGCCCGATGATCCAAGCCTTACTTGATAAATACGATCACCAACACCATCGCCTCACTAAACAATCGCGGACCAAGCCCACGCCAACTACTAACACAAACGCCACAGTACCTATGGGCGCAAATCACCCTGGACGGAAGCAATCTCTCGCCGCAGGCGGCCACCGGCTTCCAGTTAATCAGTCAAACTCCAATGTTATAACATCCCCAACGGCGAGTGGTACAGTTCATACTGATGTCTCAGATGAGCAGCACGACACCAGTCTGGTTGGTGAAGATGAGCTTGAGGAAGGCGAGATTCGTGACGATCCGACCGCTTCGGAGCACCAGGCTCAGAAGGTCAAGCTGCAGCTGCACCGTCAACAGCCCAATGGCCGGTCCTCGCCATGCCCTAGAGTACGTGTTGCCCCAAATGTTTCTACTTCAGATTCATTAGAGCCAGATCATGATCTCACTGCAGGTCTCTTGCCACTGCCAAAAAGGCTGGCGACATCACGATCAACTGCGAGTTCTCTCCTGCTTGAAGAATCTTCTTTGAAATCTGCTTCGGGGCCATGTTCCGATCGTAGTAGCGTTAATCTATCTCCAATTCGGTGAGTAAACAACAGAATGCCAATATTTAAGTATCACTAGTACACCAGATATTTTCTATTTATCACATTTTCCACAATTGTACGAGAGTCCGGTCCTTTGTCTAATGATGGCTATCTTTCATAAATGTTAAGAAGGTCGGATCAACACTACTCGACAAAAATCTGGCCTTTATTTTACTCCGGCGTTGGAGTCGCATTTAAAAATTGCAATTAAATGAGTTCTTTGTGTTCCAAAGAAGGACGTGGACTGTCTATTAAATATAAAACACTTTCCATCTACAACTCTAAAGATGGAGACCCCGAAATGAAGAGAGAAAAGGAAAAATAGTATTACCAATTGTTCTATTTTGATACGGCCGAATACAGTATGGCGGAGCGGACAATAGAAAAACAATCATTGAAAGATGGCGCCAAATGAAGCATTCTAAACCCCGCGGGCCACGGCGGAGTGGAGAAAGGGAAGGAAAAGAACTTGACCGATTTAAACAGAATGTTATCTAAAGATATGAAAACCAAGATGGTGTGGCCTTTTGTGTGGTCGCAGTCTCCTTTCGTTGCATAGAAGTTGTTTGACCTTGTTT